GATCATACAAAAATCACGAATTCTCAAAAAATAGTAGGCATATGAGATCTTTTATCCGAATACGAAATAACTATTCCTAAATTTTTCGGAAGTATTGAGGTGCGTACAAGATTTGAGGAGGTATAACAAATTTAATGAGATAAAACTCCAGATTTTTAATTAATAATTAATTTAATTCAGATTATATCATTTAAAATTAGTTATGTGAATTAATTCACGATTTAAATTAATTCATAATCCTGTGGGCTGCAACAAGAAGAGTGCGTAATAAGAATAAAACGTACTATACCGCACTGCACCCAGTTTTGCGTTCCTTTTCCCCTCTTCTCCGGTGACTGCAGTGAGACGTTAGTGTGCGGGGAGGACTACGTGATCTTATCTGTCGTATAGGATTCGGATTTTCTTATCGACGGTGATTATGCCACCACTGCATAAAAGGATAAACCAATACCACACGATATTTCCTTTTTGATTTCTCTAAACAAAATATTTATTGATTTTAGAAATCTTGGAATTTGAGGTAACCATTTGTTCCTTTTAACTTTTTTTTTTATAAATATTTGTAATGTTTATTTTATATTTTATATTTACAATTCATAATTTATTCTATTAACTTATTTAATTTAATTGGACCGTTACAACCAATTCTGGTTTTCCAATTTTTGGATCTTAAGAGGATAGAGGGGGAAACTTCGTTTTCTTCACATTATATTGCATTCGGATCATAGACCCACATTGTCGTTGGAATTCATACCCTATTTGAGTTTAGCCCATTTTATTCCAATTTATTTAAGGACAAACCATATTAAATAGCGATCAAGCTTTTAGGGCACTTGCAGTTTGATCACCAATCATTTAAAACTTTTAATATAATCATTGAACTTTTAATTTATTCTCATTACTGTCAATATCAACAACTATTATTAAGAAATACTGACATGACATGTTAAGGTAATCTTCTTCCCCTCAAATCCTAAGTTTCTTAGACAAATTAATAGTCGTCGACCTCCTTTCATTTACACCATCACCGTCCGACGTTCTTTTAAACGTCGTCGCCTCTAAACACAATCTCATTCACACTTAATAGTTTCATCATCTTCACACGATCGATGAATAATTCATTATCATCATTTCATCCAAGTCTCAAACACCATAACCACTATCCACGACCAAATCAACTCGAACCACCATCACCAATCCCATTTAATCACGATTCATAACCACAACAACCAATAACAACAAATAATAAGCAATAAAAACAATCAAATAAGTAAATAAAATAGCAGAGAAAATGAAAGCTATTCATCTTGACATTGGCAAGTTTCTAAGGAATAGAGTCGTCATTAATCAATCATAGTGGTGATAAGACTTCGTTTGGATAGAAGATTAACATGGTTTGGTTTCAAGTCGATATGATGATTAACAATCACATATAAAAAAGTTTTAACTTTTAGTTTTTGTTATACATTCGGAGAATAACCTCTGCTAGTTTTCCGCTGGTCAAGATCTTTAAACATGCTCGTTCACTTACCAAGCCTTCAAGGAGCACACATCTTTCTGGTGCAGGCCTCCAAGTCAGCTATAATACTTAGCCAAAATCATTGGCAGGTCCATGTGACATATCAAAATGAAATTCAATAATCTGACTATCATATTTTTTAGCCTACTGACCAACGAATAACGATAATAATCCTATAATTTGGCACCACTAGCTAGAAACATTATAAATATCCAACTACTAGAACTGAAAAGGGTTTGGTCATTTCGTTTTCCTTCACCCATACATTTTCATTATGACCAACTCTCTCTCACAGGAAAACACCAACCAATGACTGTTCTCTCATTGTCTGTGGTTCTCCATCCAAATCAAAAGGGATGAATTGTCAACGACCGACAAGATAAATTTGTTCACATCAACAATTTTGATTAAGATTTGGGAAGATTGGAAGGTTTGTAGACGAGTTTGAACCAATGATGGAGATCGTATAATATATGTATCTGATTATGTTATCGTTAAAGATTTAATATTTTAATTATAGATTGTTCTTTTAGTTCGAGTTTTGCTCGGTTTATAGAATTATTTTCTAAGAGTGGTTTCTTGTAAATTCGAGTTTAGATCTAAATGTTTACAACATTTAATTTTATTCGAATTTTAGTATTCTATGTAAACAAAATAAATAAGTTTTTGAACCCATTGAGCAGTTTCAGTGGTAACATAAGATGTTGTTCTCCGTAGATATTATGGATTTAGGTAGTTACATCTATAACACGTGTGTTGTCAATAACTAATTTTTTTTTGAATAGATTTACATTGTTATAATCATCCTAGACTATTTATAAAAATTTCTTTATATTATTAAATAATATTAGGTAAATATTATCTCATTATTAATTACAATTTAATGTTTAGGGTTAAGAAGGATTCAATTGTTTTTGCTTTATCTCGACCCGACTCGATGTTGATCTAAGATGGTATGATATTTTGAAGGGTAAACAACATGTCTAGTAGCCTTATTATTATTTTTGTTCCGTTTTGATTACTTACTTAATTAATTTTTAAATTGTATCTAACATTTAGTTTTAATTTAATTTTTGTCACTAACTGTTAAAAATTAACAGTGATGCGTTGCGTCGTCGTTATAAGGTAATGTCATATCATCATTGAAAAAAATAAAAATACCACGTTGGTAGTTCTATTAATTTTTTAACAATATATGATTTAAAAAAAATGAAAGTTATGATTTAACAAAAATAATTGGGTGACAAGAATGGAACAAAAGTGATAGTTGGGTACTAAACATGTAGTTTACCCTATTTTGAAAGGAGAAATTCAATAAAAATGGTAAATTACACATTTAGTACCTAAAATGTTGCTTTTATTCCATTTTGGTATCCAAATTATATTTTTTCAAAATCATACATAATGTTTAGTTTAGGTTTCAATTTGATATCCCATCGTTAAAAACTCAACAGTAATCGTGTGACGTGTCACCATAAGGTAATGCCACATCATCATTGAAAAATATAAAAGAATCCCACATCTATGGTTCTGTTAACTTTTTAACAGTGGATACCAAATTGAAACCTAAACTAAACGTTAGGTATAATTTTGAAGAAAAAAAATTTAGGTAACAAAATAGAATAAAAAAATAGCTTACCCTAAAAAGTAGCTTTAGGAAGGAAGAAGAAAAAAAGGGCATCGGTTACAGGGTTGATAAAGGAGACAAAAGCAAAAACAAGGGTGTCAGTAAAGTGCGTATAGAGTTGAAAAAATTTTAGTTGCAGATGGCCACCTTCTCTTCTAAGTTAACATCTGCACCTCAAAGACTGCAACTTTCATTTCTCCTTGTTCCCAATGGAAAATCAAGCTCCTCTGAAGAATACTGGAAAGCTGCCATTTATACAACAACCTCAACCTATGAATCAATACAAACAGGCTCAGGTCCCCATTATTATATATATATATTCTGCTATATCGTGACTGTATTCCTTTTATTTTCATTTTTGTTTATTTACAGGCAGCAGCACTGGAAATGCGTTCAATAATATTCCAAATGAAACTCCAGAGGGTATGGAATATCATGAACCTTATACATCTCATTATTAGAGTTTCATGACTCGAATTTCATTTGATACAGTCAAAAGTTGGGGTTACAACTCAATCAGTTTACCATAAGACATTGATTATAAGTTCTCCTCACTCATCCATAGTTTTTCTCATTTAGGGTTTCTCACGTAAATTCTCGACGTCTTTCTTTTGTTTTACGATCGTTTTCGCTGTCATTATCTTCGTCTAGTATAACACTAATGTTTGTTGTAATGGGATTTAGGGCATGTCAAAGGGAGAATCAAGCACCTCAGCTACCAAATCTGATGGAGAGCAGCAGATGCAACTCAACGCAAAGCGCCATTCCCATGGCCAGCTTAATTAGCTAAATTTGCTTTGATCAGTTCATAATGTGAAGCTATAGCTTTGCCTTAATATGTTACAACTTTTCACTACTATGTTGTTTGTGCTTTTGTATTCGGACATCATGTTGAGCGAATATGTTGTTTAGTGTTTGTAGTTTTTATAATGTTTCTTCTTTAACCTTCTTTATTAACGCGTTCCGTAATTTTACCATTTTAAATCTCTTAATCCTTAATAAAATAACTAAAATAACCCAAATTTTGTTATAGATTTAGTCATCATTCTATAACTTTTAAAATTTTAGTAATTTAAAAATTATTTTAATATAATTTAATGATCATTTATTTACTTTACCCTAATTTCTTTTTGTTGTTGATGAAAGTTGATGAAAATAATTAATATTTTGTCGAGTATATAAACAAATTCTTCTGTCACTGATAAGATAACGGAAATAACAAACGTATAAAAAAAATGTTTTGTTATCGTTGATAAAATAACGAAAGTAACGAATAATTCGTCGTACTTATTTTGTCAAATGTATTAAATACAAAAATTTATCAAATCGTGCTCGAAAAGAATTTTTTTTTTCGTTTATGTATGTCCGTTTTACGATCTATACTCGAAGTTATTAATCACTACCATTCATTTGAGTATATAAATACATAATTTTTGATAATGTTTTAACTGTATTGATATTGGAGATTCGAAACTTTTACTTCGGATCTCGAATATTGAATATAAATCCGAAGTTTGATTTGGATATTAATATATGTAACCATTGTTTCCGTTTTATTCGAACTTGGTATATAATATGTGAATTTTATATATGATAATCTTATATTTTTATATATGAATTTTGTTAAAAACACACACGCATAATATGTGTTAAAGACATGTATTTACATGACCACGAGCATAAGTCAGATTGAATGACAACGCACATATAAGAAACTTATACTCAACCAATCGATTAGTGCACGTTAAAAATTTAATATCTAAATAATTGAAGACATATGTTCACAATCTAAAATTTGAAAAACTCGTGGTCAACCATATTGATTTTGAGTTGTTCTAAGAAAACTGGTTAACATCAAAGGGAGATTACAGTTGATGTTGCAGTCCAATACATGGAAGAATTGTCAATTTTGACATCTCCTCTCACTGATCCAAACTAAAAGGAACAGCAAGAATTGAAACAAAAAGACTTCATGATTTTGGGGACAGTAGACCAAATTTTTAAACTTGTTCGTCTTGAGGAACTTTGCCATTTCCTTGCTTCTCAGCTCCAAGTTCAACAGTTCCATTACCTGGTGGTTGCTTCTTCATTTCTGGAGACGACAACCCTTTGTTGTCGCGGTAGATGAAGTAGAGAATCAGTTGCATAGTACCTAGTCCACATCCAAACCCATTGGGGACCTGAAAAAACAGACACAAATGGCAGCCATTCACATTTCATGCACAAAGAAATAAAGTTTGAGATCAAGAACTCGATGTATATAATGTATCTTACTGTTATGAAAGCGTCACGACCGAGTAGACCATAGATGAACCAAGAAGTACCACAGAGGAACACAAACAGTGACAAGAAAAATGGCATGAACTCAACGCTTTTTGTCTTGATCACCAGCCTCTATATACAAAAGGAATGGAATTAGAGCATATAAAGAAAAGGGTTTGTGTAAAACAAGTCAAAAAGTTGAGGGTTTTTTTTTACCATGATTGAAAGTGGTGAAGCATACATGATGATGGAGAAAATGGTGGCAGCTAGGCCACATAAGAGCTTCCTTCCATTACCATGGAGGGCAAAGAGGGAGATCAATGCCACAGCAGAGAAGACAGTGAGGACGAAAGCGAAAAGCGCCATGATTCTAGCCTTCTCCTTCTTTGGTGCATAGATGATGAAGATCAAGACATAGACGGACTCAATTACTGCACCTGTTCCATTGATTGTTGAGACCAGGATGTTGTTTTTAGACACAAAGGGAAGGCCATACCTATAAGCAATTTTGTCCAAAAAACAAATTAGAGAAGATATTAAATCACAAGACTTTTGCAATGAAAATGAATCAATGAGAAAGGGCACCATGCAGAGAGGAGACAGTTGAGCAAGGTCATCACATAGGGAACTCCAGAGAACTGCTCTGTGGACTTGCTTTTAATGATCCTCTTAAATGTAATCCTTCAGAAAATTAAACATGGTTTAACAAAATCCATTAGTGTTTTCATCAATCTTGAAACGGTAATTCAAAACCTTTTTCTTCTTTTAAATTACCCAAAATGTAAGAAGAAGAAGAATTTGAAGTGAAAAAGTGTTGGTGGTAACCATTTTGAAGAAAAATACCATAAAAAAGGAGGAAAATGTTTCCCAAACCAAAGTGAAATTCTACATTAAGAAAAAACAAATGCTTTCTCCTTTCTTTGGAGAAAGAAAACAACATATCGACTGATTCCACTCGGTTTCCAAAAACCAAAAACTGGCAAAAGTTTAGTCTATGTTTGCATGTGTTTATCGCATAGGGACAGAGAGAAAGAAAGAAAAAAACTTCTTCTTCTTCCATTGATAAAGAAGAATCTGTTTGAAGTTTTGACATTTAAAGTTTCGAGAACCAAAACCCAAATAAATAAATAAAATAATGATCTTTATGCCCCTGTAGTCGTTCTTGACAGATACGGTCGGGTCTTCATAATCTGGAGTAAAAGGATTCGAACCTTTGCATGCGGTACCAAAAACCATATAAAAATTATTTAAATAAAAGAATAGTTAATAGTTTTAAAATTAAATTCGTAATCGACCATTATATAACATTATTATTATTTAAATAAAATAATAATTTTTAAATTGAGTTAGCATTTAATTAACCCGTCAAACAAACTCAATCAAAAGTTTTAATAATAAGATAAACTCAGAACGAATGATTAAAACTGAATTAATTTATTAAGAACTAGTTCAATAGGTGTTTTTTTGATAAGTTAAACATTAATAAGTGTTGAAAAATTATATATTGGATTTAAGTTATAAAATATGTTTGATGTATTAATTAAAATTAAATATTTAAATAATTCTTCTATTTGATAAATATAATTTTTTTAGTATAATCATTGGTATCTAATTTATTAATCAGCTAATCTAAATCGAGTATTACAAATATTAATTATACCAGCGGTCCAATTAATTCAATTTGCTCCATTCACAATAATAAATTTGATTTGTAGACAACATTTAAGGAATCTAACATCACATTTTTCTAAATTAACTGACAATTAATCAATAAATATAAAATTTAAAAAATACTAAAAATAAATTATTATTTACATATCATTCAAACCTTTCATATGGTTTCACTTTCATTATTAAATATATTTTTAAAAAAGTAAATTTTTATTTATAATAAATTATATCTAATAAAACTTTAGTATGAGTGTTGTGATTTAAGGAAATGTGGTCGCATGTTCTTCCAAAAAGACAAATAAATGAGAGGAAAGTTAGGAGAGTATCATAGTTGTTTAAAGGAATCAATTAATTCACTTCATTATTTCAATAATTATGATATTGAATTTAATTATTCAGCTGCTGATAAACAATAATGGACACCAGTAATAAATAAAGACAATTTTTATTGAATATTATATATAATAAAAATATTTTATCTAGTATAATTTGTGTATACCTTTTAATTTAAAATATAATAATAATTATATATATTTGGATTAAATCTTAAAAAAATATATTAACTAGACTAATATAGGTTTTTAATTAATTTATACATATTTTTATTTAAATTATTTTTTAGATTTTTTAGGGACACTGGGTGAGCCATGGCTTAAGTAGGCTCACTCCTACATCTGCCCTTGATGGAGACATTACTATTGCATTTGGAGTGATTTTTTAAAATAATTTTTTATGATTTTTTTCGTGTTAGGATTAAATTGAGGTAATGTGTAAATCTTGATAGTTAAAATTTATAAAATTAGGATTGAATTAATATAATGTGTAAACTTTAAGGACTTAATTTATTATTTTAGCAAATTAAGTAAAGACCAAGTCATTTTCTTTTATGTTCTAACGAAAATAGACAAAAAAATATCTGATAAATTAGATGGTTATTTTGTAATTTTTTATAATCGAGTGATCAAATGAGAAAAGCACTAATAGTCAATTGAGTATTTATGTACTTTATTCAACATTATGTGTCGTCTATCTCGATCAAGGACGCCTATAACACGACATCAGAACCATGTCTGCAGGATCAGAGTAAAGCCCTTCCTTATTTGATCATAAATATTTTGATTGGTTGTCTTGTATTAGGGTTTAGAAGGTTGCATTACCCTCCAAGGAAGGACTCTTTCCAAAGTGTTCTTAATGTTTGTGGAAGAGGTCGTACTCATTTCCAAAAAAAAAGATAATAATTATAAACGCGAGATTATAAATAAGTCGATTTTCATTATCGACGTTTTATAATCTCACGTTTGTAATTATTATGTACATAATACTGAACTAGTTCATGCATGGAGTTAGGTATGCATGTATTGAATTAATGAGCTTATTATTTAGTCTTTTTTTGATGTTTTCATTTGGTCATCTGGCGTTCCCTATGAAGCGGGGCAACTGCCTGCATTAAGTTCAAATGGAACGTTTTTCTCTTCTTCTTTGATCACACCACCAATGTGCATAGAAAGTTCAAGCAACCTTATATGTTTACATTAAATTGCAGTGACTACTGCCTGTTGAATTTTTGGACTTATATATAGGTCGACGAACGAGACGTTACGCGTCGTATTTGTCTTCGGAATTAACACGACAAATGGAAGAAAAAGAAACATTTTCTGCCTAAATTCTGTTGATTATAACGTTCATGCATGTTGATTATCAAATGAAAAACTCCATTGCAGAGCAGGCAAGGTTTCTTCTTTTGATTTGAAAGTTAGGGTTGTTAAGGTATAGTTAAATCTTCAAAGATTCACAAAGACAATCGCATGCTTTTCACAAATGTAATGGTAGTTCATTCATAATCGAGACTAAAAACATCTGATACGTATTATTTAATAAACCCCATAGTGTAGGTAAAGATGATAAAAAAAATTATAAAATTAAAACTATAAAAAAATCAAATATATAAAATAAAAATTCTACAAAAATAAATTATAAAAGCTTTTAATAATTAAATTATATAATACTTAATTCTTTAAGTTAATTGACGTTTCATTAGATTTAAGCATCAAACATGTAGATTACCAAATAAATTTACTGTACTAAAGATTCATCTTTTTCTTTTATTTCGTTTTCAAATTTATTTACTCTAATTTAAAATTTAGTTAGATTGTTGATAAAATTATAATTTTTTTAATTTAAACTTAATAAATTTATTTGTTTTAATTGATAAAATAGATTTATTAACTCCATTAGTTTAATTCTTTTACTTAATTCAACTGAATTCTGTCACCTTTACATGCATGCATCCAGAATTCATGCACTTGAAAAAGGCAATTAAGAATATAAAAATGTTTTGCCACCCTTTAACCAACATGGGGAGTGAAACATACCAGCTTAAGGAAAAAGGAAATAAAAAATGAATTCTTCATCATCTTTTTTAAAGTCCCAAGAATGTTGCTCTCAACCTAGCATTGGGGCAGGCTACTACCCTACCTCCCCCTTATCCTATTACATATGGGAGTAGGGTCAACTAATTTTTTTTTTGAAAATATACTACTCGTAATAATCACTATGTAGGCACTTAATAATATATAACTGAACAAAGCAATCCCAGTGGTTAAAGGAATAATTGTTATTCCTAAAATTTGAAGTCCCGGATTCAAGTACATTGTTTAAAGGGTATTTAAACGTATATTATCAAATGATTAAGAATATTTCAAACATATACTAAATGAATAATCAAGCAAACTAAATAAAATAAGAAGCAAAATCATAAGTGAATTCTTGATTTAGAACATCAAGAAGATGTCAATCTACGACCATGTGGCCAAAAGGAAAATGAATGGAGACAAGATTGCCAACCTCTACCTGAAAACACAGCCTTTTTTGTTTTAGTATTGTCATCTCTGTTATTTCCACTTTAATCCATCACCACCGAAAGTTTCATGTTCGTTTTTGCAGATTTGAATGCATCATACAGACACATGTCACGTTCATGTGCTTTTTTTTTTTAATCTTTGGAACCAAAAATATTGTGCTGTCCTTGCCAAAACAGGTTATCTCCTTAACATCCCCGTGCATGAAAATGACAGCAGCAAAGATTGGTTCGAACACTAGACATCATTTATTAAATGGACTCAAATTAGACCCTTCTTAGAGTCCCAACATGAACAGAATTTGACAACTAAATTTGGGTAATAAGAGTACCTTTCTATGTATTTAGAGAGTTTTCAATTTTTCATATCGTTGATGGTAATATTTGAATTATGACTAAAATAAACTGTTCATTATTTTCATTTTGGATAGAGAGTTGCAGCCGATAGTCAATGATGAATTTATACACTATCAATATCGCCTGATTTTTGAATTTAAAAGAGGGAGTTAAAGAAAAAAAAAGTTTTCTCCTCTCTTAGTCTTGGTTGGGAGGTTTTATGGCGATCCTTAATGTTAAGTCTAGAATCATGATAGTTACTCGTAAGTTGGCAGAGTGAATGAATACGATCGTCTGAAAACATGTTTGACCTTGGTAGATCACGTGAGTGTGCTAATAGTTATGTCAGGAGAAGATGATTGGTCAAACGATATAAGGATTCCAAAAATTTCTTCTTATTCTAAAATCTTCGGTTGTCGAAAAAATCATTTATGAATTAAAAACGCTTAGTGTTCAACATTGACTACATAGTCCAAGAGCATGAAAGATGGGAAATGAAGTAGAGTTAGGGTTAGGTTGGTCCATTATATGACCAACATGCAATGCCCTTGTTTGTTATCTACATTTGGCGAAAATATACTTTTAGCCCCCAAACATTTATGAATTTATTTAGAGATCCCCTTAATAAATGTCATTAAACTGCTGAGAACCTATTTGAAATTCATTAAAGAGCTATTTTACCCAGACTCAGAGATATCAGATGCAAATATATTCAATATTTTTTAAGTGTTTTTTTATGTATTTAAATGATATTCGGAGAGTCGTTCTCGTATTCATATTTTACTCGGCACATTTAGAACTGTGCTGCAACTACACTTGTTTCTCTCCTCCTTTTTGTTGTACCTTTAAATTGCAGAGGAAAAATATCCATAGCTAGTAATCTACTGAAGTCATAAACCAGGGAGATCCGAAACTAGACCACACGAAAAGACTCGGCTATCCGCTTTAAATCCTCGTAATGTCTTTTCCATTGAAGACCTGCGACGAACATCGAACATTTTCGTCTTTACCTTCGATTAATTGATAATGATAACTCGGAGCACCATAGGTACGGAATGCATGCTGAACAAACTTCCAATGATTATGAATTTGAAAGAAGCATTGAGGAGTAGGATAGAAGTACATACCACTTCCGGTTACAGTGAATAGGTAAAACCGGTTACCGGCTGCAGTTGCAGTGATCAGCGCATGGGGTGGCTCCAATTCATACTGGTAATACATCCTGCCATCATGCTCTGCCGTCTTCATGCTTAGTACCTTGCCTTCTACGTTTTCACCGATCACTTCCGGTCTGAATGCATTGATCACTTTTTCTGGAGGTCCGATCTTTTGAATCGTGGCATCGTCACCGAGATCTATACAATATCACAAGACAAAACAATTTTTTTTTCTCTGTTTAAGGCATCAGCTATCTTAAATCCACCCTAGCATCTATGCACGTTATCCTAATGCAATAATCGAAAGGTTAATACGAATCAAACAACTTTTAACGATCTCGATATCTGAAGAAACAAATTTCATTGCAGATTACTTCAATGGACTAACACAGTTAAACAAAATACTTGGGGAATCTTACTGTCAGCGAATCTCAGAACAGGAGCAACAATGACGAACAAACGTCCTTGTTTCGAGCTAGCAAACCTCAAGTCGATCTCGGTACCGCCTAAATCCGCTATCGATACAGGAACCTGTTGCAGGGATATGTATACATGCATATTATATATGATGAAGCCTTAAGTAAAGAGCTTCAAATTGGGGAATGTGTAATGGAATGAAAGAGTACCTCTTCCCAACCTTGAGGAACTTTAAAGGAATAAGGGATGATAGGACTCCATCCAACACCATGCCCTCCCGACTTGTCATCGGGTCTCCGATATGTACTCCAACCTGTCTGAGCACATTGTTCACTGGTGAAGATGATGATGTAAGCTTTTGCTAGAAACAATAGTTTTCCTTTGATTTTCTTCACAAATTTAGATGCTAGGGGACTGGTGAAAAGGCAAGTAAAACTGTTAAACCAACCTTGGTCATCGGGCTCGGACAAGCCAGGTATCCTTCCTGCTAGAAGACCTTGTTTGACGACCGCCATGCCCTCGCCTGGAAATCCAAATACAGACAGAGACGATAGAGGAATCCCGGAAATCAAAAGGGATCGTCTGCTCAAAATCCCCCATGAATCCTCTTTCTCCTTGCCAACCAACCCGTTTCCTCTTGAAGTGGTAACAGTTTTGGGTTTTGAAATCCCATTTTCTGGTGAAGAATGAGGGCGTGGTTGCCGATGACATTTCCATGAAAAGCTAGAGCAACCGGAAAACAACGTGATCACCATTTTTTTTTCTAGCAAAGGATTATAGAGCTGAAGTTCAAGGAGCAAGAAGAAACTGTTAAGTATTTTTGTGGACGATGTGTCATCTCTGCGCAGTATTCTGATTCTTACCGATAAAATATGATCATTTTTAGCCTCACACGTGGAAGATCTTGAATCACTTTTCCTACACACACATTCCCTTCAAATATCCATGTCTAATATTTATTTCTGCATCCTTAATAAATTTATAAACATCTAGAAACAGAGACATAATATTCTAAAATCAGCTATATTATCATTAATTTTCATCATACTATAATGTCCAAATACAATTTCGTGTCATTTTTACAACATTGAAAATTGCACTACTTCTTTTTAAAGACAAATGCTCTATGACCTAGAAAAAATAGTAAATAATAATTTGTGGAAATCGAAGAAAAAGAGATCTCTGCCAACCAAATAGTCTGTTTCTTTTTTAAGGCAGAGGTAAAGGAGGTTTCCAGTTTGCAAATTCAACAAGATCTCTATTCACAACGGATCCATTATGCAGCCAAAATGTTTCAGCTGATTGGTGAAATTGCCTCACTTTCCTCTGAAGCTCCCACATTAGTGCTTGCATTGTAGAACATGGCTCTGAGTCCGGAGCGTAAACCCACAAGCATCTTACTTGCCTGCCGCGAGCTATTATCTGCTCTATGACCTCATCTGAATCGTAAATGCAAAGCTCGGTTGTTCAATGCTGCTAATGAGTTCAATAAGTAAAGCAACAAGGAAAGGATGGAATATCTGACCTGGTATTGAAGCTAGGTAGTCCAGAAGTTCGGGTCCTATTGATGTGGATGGCCATTTGATTGATATCTGTGTGTAGTCGATTACATTTTGAAACGGTAGTTCTACTTGATCTGATAAGATGACAGGAACACATTCCTGTTCATGAAAATATAAAAACAATAACAATTTGTGATGGTTCAGTTGGCCTCAAAAGCTTGTGTGCATGTGTTTGTGAATGACAGAGAGAGGGGGAAAGAGAGAGAGACCACAAAGAATGCCTCGTAAAAGCGGAGGGTCCAAGATGACTCTCCACGTGGTGCAAGGCAAAATTTGGCATTGCCAAGGTGCTGAAAGTATTCCAGTCTTCCCAATTTGTTAGGACCCCTGAACTGTAGCTCTGGACATTCCAACTGTTACACAGTTTTCCCACAAAATAAATGAGAAAATTCTAGTCAAACAACCAATTTAGCATGTGAAAGAAAGCATCTCGAGATACCATAATTCACATCAATCAACCAGAAATGAATCAAAAACCCACAGTAAGATTAGGCAAACATTATTCTACCAAAATAGTAGATACAGCTAAACGGGCAAAGAAGTAACAATATGAGACATATTAAAATCATATAATTCTTTATTCTAGATCAGATTCTTAATCGATTAAAAGTGATATTAGGCTATATATTGTTGTTTTGAGGTTTTATATGAAGCCACTACTAAATCATCAGTATTCGATACAATGTCATATCTAAAGCAGTAATCTGAAAATGGAAAACGTGCCTTATCTGGATATTCCCTTGCAAGCTCAATCAACTTGAGACGACCAACCTTATTTTGTGCCCGGCCTAAATAGTTTGCCAAATACCTTCTCTTTGATAGAGGCCAAGGCTGGAAAATAGTAGGCCCTGCTTTCGTCATCCCGTCATCAACATTTCCAGGAATGATGATATCTTTCCATGAATTAAAGGCACTTGCGTCTCTCTTATCAGTACGGTCTCCCTGCACAATACACAAATCAGAATTCTTTTGTTAAGAAAGCCAACATAAAACACAAGAAAACTTCAATTCTGAAGGCCTCAATTGGTAAGAAAAATTGAAATGTGAAGCTTAGAAATACTTAAATGGAGACAAAATGGCTTCAAACATTCATTTGTAAGATATTAAAACAGGATTTTTTTTTTGGGGGGGGGGGACAGAGAAGTATATAATCCTTTACTCAAAACCTCTTTCTATTCCTTCTGTAGTGTTCACAATTTGGAAAGAAAAAGAAAAGTATAAACTTCATTGTGCACAATAATATCTAATAATAGTTCTACAATACATCTATTAGTTCCACATCTCCTACAAGAGTTGGGAACAATTAAACTAGTTTTTGTCCATCATATTCATATATCTCAAATAAGTAGCAGCCTTTCATAATTTCTGATCAACAAATGGAGCTGGCAATTTCAACAAAATAGAAGTGGATATAGGCCGTTAAGGCTGGACCAAAATAATTCTTCCAACAAGAAAAGTGATTGTTTTCTCCCATGCACATAATCAGTGACGGAACCAAAGCATGAGCAGGCCTAATGACAATTTAGGTCCTTGTTAGTTTAAATATTAGACAAACTAACCCTTACGCCCCCCGAAAAAAGAGTTTAAATACTTAATAGTCCCTTGTATTTTTTAAGTCAGGTAATTTGTCCCCTCCCAACGTTTGACCCTGGTTTCGTCCCAGCACATAATTTAACACCCATTTTCAGAATAAAAGTCTTCAGCCCCAGGACTTAAGGATTTTCCATATAACTCAAGGAATTCAGGAATTCAGTCTCTCCTACTTTCCCATGTTGGGTAAAGAGTTTAGATGAAATCATCTAGCCAGTTACCATGGTTGGATTTGACAAAGCAAAACCCTGAACTGTAGCTCTGGACATTCCAACTGTACACAGTTTTCCCACAAAATAAATGAGAAAATTCTAGTCAAACAACCAATTAGCATGTGAAAGAAGCATCTCGAGATACCATAATTCACATCAATCAACCAGAAATGAATCAAAAACCACAGTAAGATTAGGCAAACATTATTCTACCAAAATAGTAGATACAGCTAAACGGGCAAAGAAGTAACAATATGAGACATATTAAAATCATATAATTCTTTATTCTAGATCAGATTCTTAATCGATTAAAAGTGATATTAGGCTATATATTGTTGTTTTGAGGTTTTATATGAAGCCACTACTAAATCATCAGTATTCGATACAATGTCATATCTAAAGCAGTAATCTGAAAATGGAAAACGTGCCTATCTGGATATTCCCTTGCAAGCTCATCAACTTGAGACGACCAACCTTATTTTGTGCCCGGCCTAAATAGTTTGCCAAATACCTTCTCTTTGATAGAGGCCAAGGCTGGAAAATAGTAGGCCCTGCTTTCGTCATCCCGTCATCAACATTTCCAGGAATGATGATATCTTTCCATGAATTAAAGGCACTTGCGTCTCTCTTATCAGTACGGTCTCCCTGCACAATACACAAATCAGAATTCTTTTGTTAAGAAAGCCAACATAAAACACAAGAAAACTTCAATTCTGAAGGCCTCAATTGGTAAGAAAAATTGAAATGTGAAGCTTAGAAATACTTAAATGGAGACAAAATGGCTTCAAACATTCATTTGTAAGATATTAAAACAGGATTTTTTTTTTTGGGGGGGGGGGAGAGAAGTATATAATCCTTTACTCAAAACCTTTCTATTCCTTCTGTAGTGTTCACAATTTGGAAAGAAAAAGAAAAGTATAAACTTCATTGTGCACAATAATATCTAATAATAGTTCTACAATACATCTATTAGTTCCACATCTCCTACAAGAGTTGGGAACAATTAAACTAGTTTTTGTCCATCATATTCATATATATCAAATAAGTAGCAGCCTTTCATAATTTCTGATCAACAAATGGAGCTGGCAATTTCAACAAAATAGAAGTGGATATAGGCCGTTAAGGCTGGACCAAAATAATTCTTCCAACAAGAAAAGTGATTGTTTTCTCCCATGCACATAATCAGTGACGGAACCAAAGCATGAGCAGGCCTAATGACAATTTAGGTCCTTGTTAGTTTAAATATTAGACAAACTAACCCTTACGCCCCCCGAAAAAAGAGTTTAAATACTTAATAGTCCCTTGTATTTTTTAAGTCAGGTAATTTGTCCCCTCCCAACGTTTGACCCTGGTTTCGTCCCAGCACATAATTTAACACCCATTTTCAGAATAAAAGTCTTCAGCCCCAGGACTTAAGGATTTTCCACTGGTAATAACTCAAGGAATTCAGGAATTCAGTCTCTCCTACTTTCCCATGTTGGGTAAAGAGTTTAGATGAAATCATCTAGCCAGTTACCATGGTTGGATTTGACAAAGCAAAAACTGGAGTGTGTATATAAATATTAAATTGTGTTCTTTATAGAAAATCTAATTTCTAAACAAACAGGGATCCCAAACCACAACAAAAATGAACTTTGATAGTTTTCTATAAGTTGGTTATAGAACCATAGAATCGCCTGTATTCTTAGCATTTTCCTCAGCTTCTTTAATTGGGGTCAGAGTGGTTATGACAATTTATGCCTCATGAAAGTAAGAGATACATATACTCAACTGATAACGGACAGGCACAAGGGGGAAAGAATCATTGCCCTATATCACAGGTCATGACCTAGCAAAGTCTAATGCATGTGCTAAACAAAAATCTTAAGATTTTTTGGACAGAAAAGACCAATACCTCAGGAGTGAGAATTATAGATCGGTTTATATAGGTTGCCCAAGATCTAAACAAGTGAGCTCCAGCACCACTGTAATATACATGTAAAAAGCAAACAACCTTGAAAACAAAGTTAATCAAATTCAAACCAAACCAAAACGGAACAAAACACTAACAGCTATTATACCTTGGGAAAACAAATATATGGTCCCGTCCTCCGGATCGCCTGAAATACGGCATCTGGCTCAAAACCTGAAACAAAGCAACAGTTCATTCGTTGCTAAAATTGAACAAAAAAAATCATATAATCTATACATGGAGCAATTAAAAATAAGCTTTTACCTTGACATATGTTTGGTTAATTTCTTTGTCATTAAGACCACCCAACATCCGAACACATTTAACATAAGCTGGTACAAAGAACAAATCAGCTTCCTCTTTCTTTCTTGTTCGAAATCGAGATTCAAGCAATAGCCTATGGATTTTGACCTGCATTTTTGTTTACTAACAAATTAAGATTTAATTTGAAAGAAATTACTCCTAAAAAGAAAAAACCGTTACCTGAGAAGCCCACTGGCCTTTAAGACAAGCATTGGTAGAAATGGATCCATCTCTTCCGTAAAAAAGGTGTTTTAAGCCGTCGATCTCGTTCTCGTCGTAGACGTAGATCTTGAGAGAGAGATAGGACCCGTACCCTCGCTCGGGCCACAAGAGGTGGCCGGCAGCGTTGGTTTTGGCGACGTGGAGGTTGTCGACGTTCGGGGACGGACGGCCGTGATCGAGGTAGCAGCTGGAGGGAGGGAAGGATTGATCGAAGAGACGAGTGAGGAAGAAAGTGGCGGTTACGAGGAAGAGAGCGGAGATCTTGTGAGCGCGAGTGCAGAATGGTGAGGCGTAGGCATGCGCTTGGAAGACTCGAGCCTGACTCATTGCTTTGTTTTCCAGAGACTACTGAGTCGAGTGGAGCATCAAATGGAAAGCTTAAAAAACCTCTTCAGCCTTCAAGATTAGATGATAGTAGCTTAGTAACCCAAACGATGTCGTTTCCTTTAATATTTACAACATAAATTAAATTACTAATATATTTTTCTTTAATAGAAAAAATTAATTTTATTAAAAATAGAAAATATCTAAATTATTATGAATGTTTACAACTATAACCTTAAAGTAAACACATTATATGTATATTTTTCTATAATTATTAACATAATGAAACTAACTACTTAATATCACAAAAGGTTCTTATGAGGAAAATGTTATAAATCTAACAAAATAAACTCGGACAAAATGTAGATATAAATTGATCTTACCATATCAACAAACGAATCACAAAAATTGATCAAGCTATTGAAAGACCACTGATAAATAGTAAATCAGAGTCGATCGACGTGAAAAAACACGAACACAAATCACAAATCCAAATCTAAATCTAACCCAAGGGTCAAAAGCATGTAAAATAATCATGAGAGCAAATAAATATAGTCTTTACAGGTCGTGGCGATGTTAAATCAAACCAATGAGAAAAAAGAAAGATGTAAGCAACAATAAAAAAACATGCCATAAAGACATAAAAAATCATGTTATAAAAAGTTGAGTTATTAAAAAATTTAAAAAATATATATTATAATAAAATAAAGAAAAAAACAATAATTACTAACAATCGACGATGATACTAACTTACAATCAACACTGAAATTAATATCATTGTCGATTATAAAGATGATGAAGAAAAGAAATTAACAGTGATCAAAGAAAAAAGAGAAAAAACCTAAAATTATTGATAGATACTATTTAATATTTTAAGCATCAAATATTTAATGCTATCAATTATATTAATGAATAGTATTTAATATTTTAAACATCCAATATTAATTACTATCAATTATATTAATAATTTATAAATATTTTAAGCATCAAATATTAATTATTATTAACTATATTAATAAATAATATTAATATTTATCACATAAATTAAATTATTTATAGGTTTAATAAAAAAATCTAAATTATATCAATTTTTTTAACTTTAGGTGCTTAAAAAAATTTCGCTCAAAGTAGGTATATAACGTTTTGACATTATTCTCTTAAGTGCCTATGTTGTAGCGACTAGGGATAGGCATGGCACCCGAACCCGATGGATTACGACCCAACCCTATGAATTATTATTATTATTATTTTAAAAAAATCATATTCGAGCTCGAGTAGAATTTAGATTTAAGATGAAAAATATCCGATCTGATCCTAAAAAAATAATATAATTATATCTTATATATTTAGAGATAATAACAATAATACTCATCTATATATCATATTTTTCAATTAAATCCCTATTTTATCAAATAAATTTAATATTTTTATAAATATATTTATTTCGAATCAAATTCGAGTTTTTTATAAATATATTTTGGGATTGTATATTAAAATAACAAATTTATAAAGTTTTAGAGTATAAAGAACTTATAAAATTTTAGACGACGAAGTGTATATTAATCAAAAAAGAAGAGAAAAAATTGGCTAGTATGCAGGTGCCGACAGTGAAGGATGGTTCATGCCGGATATTTGGGTCAACGTGCGCAATTCTGGAGACAATACTCTTGGAGTCATCCAAGACCAAGAGGTGTTTCCGGTGAGACAGTAATTGGGATGCCTAGTGAGATGGAGATAGTGGCACCAAGGAAATCGGACAAGATCAGAATCATGGGTGGCTCACTTCGCGGTGTTACCGGTAAGCTGATTGGCGTGGATGGCATTGTTAGTGTAGATGACAGTCTCCTGATGTAAAGATATTAGACTTGGTTACACTAGCAAAATTACACTAAACAACTTGTTATAGTGTAATTAAAATTAACAACGATTACTGTTTCATTTTGTATTACTTAGGCTAAATTATTATTAATTAATTATTTTTTAATAAAATCATTATATAAATATGGTAATATCTAAAAAGTAAAATTTACTTACTGTTTTTAGTAATAAGATTACATTTTATTTATATTACTTAGCATGACTTTTATGATGTAGAAATTATTTTTAAAAATAAAATGTCATTGCACGGCAAAATGAAAGAGAATAGAGAGAGAGAGAGAGAATGAAAACCCACAAAAAAGGATAAACATTGCATATTAAAAAAAAAAAGTAAAAACAGCAAAAGCATGTAGTAGCATTCATTATTCTATTTTCCTTATTCACTCTTTGCAAATAATTTACTCAATCCATTGACAAAGCTTCATCCTTTAAGCATCCATGCGAATCATACATCTCAGACCCTCACCCGCAAGCATCAACTCAAATGCCTTGTTGATCTCCGAGAATGGAACCGAGTGAGTGATGAATTTATCCAATTCAAGTTCCTGCAACATTTAACACATCTTATTATTGCTACTTCTTTACACGATTAAATGTTTACATCAAACAGGAACATAACCTCACCTTGTTCATGTATTTCTCGACGACAGCAGGAATATCGGTCCTAGGCTTGTAGTTGCCGAAGAAAGTACCCTTCAGAGTCCTCTCATTCAGCAGGTTCACCGGATGCGTTTTGAATGCATCGTCTTTGTTCGCGATTGTTCACACCTTTGCACTTGATAACCTGACCAGCAGTACTCATATTGGGCTGTTTAATTTACTCTGTATTTGTTTTCTTGTTGTTTGTGAGGAGAAAAGAAAGGTAACGATATTCTATTTATAGTGAAACTCATTTCCAGTTCACTAGATTACGCAAACCAGATCAATGGTTTTCCTCTTTGTTAGGTAACTGTGGTTTTTCAGACGAATCAGTGTCTGGTTTTGTGGTATTACTACTCATTCTTGTCGTGGTTTTGTGACAAGTGTGTAATCTTTGGACTTCTTTTATTTACACGGTTGAGTTGAAAACTCGAAACGAGTGAGTCACCATAACCATGGGCGCCTCATGGAACAAGAAGGTCAATACCACTTGTCCACTCAAACCCGGTTTTAAGTTTCACAAACGGATTCTTTGGTTCAGTCAAATCTAATATTTATGGGTTTTCCTTTTTTATTGAATAAAAACGAAGTTGTATTCCATTGATGTTTAAAATTTAGGGTAAATTATATAAATAATCACTAATATTTCAGTAAATTAAGGGTAAAGTATAGTAATGGTCACTGAACATTTCTGAAGCTTGCATTTAGGTCTCCCAACTTTTAAAACTTGTAATACAGTCCCCAAACATTTAATCCGTTTGCAATATGGTCCCGCACCTATGAAAATTAGGGTAAATCATATAAATGGTCACTGAACTTTTTAGGCACTTGAATTTAGGTCCCCCCAACTTTTAAAACTTACAAAACATTCCTCAATTTCATTATAAATCCCAATTTCAAAGTAATTCAATTCATTCTAAACCCTAATTCCAAAATAATTCAATTACATTCTAAACCCCAAATTCTAAAATACTTCAATTTAAGGGAAATAAATAGATTATCTTAAGAACGTGATAGCATTTGATTTTTTACTTTTGTGAAAAAAAATACACTCCCTCTTCGTAATATAAATTTAGTGATCTTCAATAATTAATATAAAAAATGATTAGGAAGAAATGAATTAAAAAATACAATCTCTCAATGAAAAAAATTAAGAATCAAAATCCCCAATTGATCCTTATAATTTTTATTTATTTCAATTATAATTTAATTTTTTTTAATAGTTTGATGTGATTATAAGATAGTATTTATTCAAAAAATTAATTTATTAACAATTATAAATATACCTACAAACACAATTGTTTGAATTTAAAACTTTTAAAGAAAATAACATTTTTACCTATATTAAAAAATTTAAAAATAGATCGTGCTAGAACTAAAGATACGTGAACGTGACCATGAAATAGAAAGTTTACGTATGTTACGAAAACATGGCACAAATCCCATCTCTTTTTTGATTGTTATCATCAACCTAGGGGTATTATATTAAATTATTGATTTTTTATTTATTTTTGAAGTAGTCAACTTCAGTGTTTATTTTTTTTATTGTGTTTTTTTATGATTTTATTAAATAATTTTTCTACAAAAAATATTTGATGTAATAAGTAAATAAATATTTAATTATCATGATAATATTTATATTTTAATTATAATAGAAATAATATAAAAATAAAATTATTTATACATCATTACTATAATTAACATAACTCGTATATAAATTTTGACTCTGCTATTTATGTAGTCTTAATATTTATGTGAAAGATATAAATATATTAACACGTATGATTAGAGATAAAACATACACAAATAATCAGAAATATATTTATTTTAAATAATGAATTATTATCATATATTCTTACTATTGAAAAAATTTTCATGTCTTTAAATTAATATTAAAAAATTATCATATGTTTTAAAATAAAAAGTAAATTAATTAATAATTAGTGACATTGGCGTCGTTTATAAAAAAGACAGAAATTGAAGTATTTTAGAATTTGGGTTTTAGAATGTAATTGAATTATTTTGAAATTTAGGGTTTAGAATGAAATTGAATTACTTTGGAATTTGTGGTTTAGAATGAAATTGAGAATTGTTTTGTAATTTTTAAAAGTTGGGGGACCTAAATTTAAGTGCCTGAAAAGTTTAGTGACCATTTATATAATTTACCCTAATATTCATAGGTGCGGGGACCATAGTGCAAACGAATTAAATGTTTGGGGACTGTATTGCAAGTTTTAAAAGTTGGGGGACCTAAATGCAAGTTTCGGAAATGTTCAGTGACTATTACTATACTTTACCCATAAATTAATTATTTGACCGTTAAGAACTGTTATCCTAATAACAGAAGAGTGATGCGACGCATTTGACCAACTGATTGGCACATTTGAGCGCATTGACACTCTGTGCCATCATTGGTACTCTTCCATCCTTTATTCTCTCCGTCCGGTGGGGCCATTTACACCAATGAACTCATTATCAATGGCTTCTCCGCTCACGTCACGGTTACTCAGGCAGATAAGCTCAGGGCTAAAAACAAGAGGGCTTATTGATTCTTCTTGGGTTTGATAATGTTGATTCTTTGTATTCATCTACAAAATAAACCTTTACGACAACACCCTTCATTCAAAAAATAATTTTTGTCCAGCTTAATAAATAATTTTTTCAGCTCAATAAATTTCATTATGATTAATCTATCATACTCTTGAATATAATATATATGTCGCAGTAAAAATAAATTATATCAAGCGTATTTAACAGTGTTAACATTATCATCATGATTGTTTTCGTTCAGACTATCATAAATACTAACACAAAATCATAATTACTCGTATATTAGTTGATGATTAGCACATATGCCATATGGATTTAAAATAATATGATAATAAATGCATATATGTTGTAGGCATACGGTCTCATCTAGGATATAAATTAGACGAGACAGATTGTAAACTATTCGAGATCGATTTAATCAAAGTTTAATAAATATTCATCTCTCTTTTACCTTATAAAAATAAAAATTTCAAACAACACTCAATCGTGGTATTGCCACGAACTATAATTCTCTATTAAACTAAAAATGTTAATACAATCCATTTGTTGTATCAACATAAGTGGTTTGTAAGAGAGTTCGTGGCACTTTCTTAATAATTATAGTGAATATTTTATTACATAAACTAAACTAAACATTTAAATAAAGATTCCATGTGGCGCCTAATCATTTCAAGTTTTCAACTCAGCCACGTGAATCAAAAGTCCACGACTAGACAGAAAACACTGTAATATAAATAAATTAAATTTGGATATTGATTACGAAGAAAAAATTAGTTGTAATTGAATTTAAATTATGATATCGTAAATTAAATAAAAATTATTTTATAATGAATTTTTTATATTTTATTCAATTAATTCAATAATAAATTTGAAATATCAAAAATAATATAAATATATTTTGATATCTTGTAATTTATAATATTAGTGCTTTTAGCACATTAAAAAGGGTAAATTACAACATTTAGTATATCAATTATAATTTTTATTTTGTTTTGATCATTTAATTATTTTTTTAAATTATATTTAATGTTTAGTGCGGGTTTTTTTGATAAAATGTCTTTAAAAAATCAATATTGATATATTTACGTGTCATCATAAGATAATATCACATCATCATTAAAATATTTCTTAGAAAAATGTCACGCCAAAGTTCTTGAGTTCTTTAACGATGCGTGGCCAAAATAAAATCAAAAGATAACGTTAAATATGATATTGACAAAAAATAGTAGTGACCAAAATAAAACAAAAGTAATAGTAGTTGAGTACTAAAGTGTAGTTTACTATTAAAAATGATACTTCGATTTGACCAAAACCATTCTTAAATAAAAAATAATAATCGACCAAAACCAGACACAGATTCGGCTGGAAAACAAGCAGTCATTTGACAAAATCCAAACTATGGGTGTGCTTTCGCTATAAATAAAATCCCATTGGCTTTCCTCTTGCATCATAAACAACAAACCGCAACCACAGAAGAAAAACGAGAGTGATCAGATAAAACTCAACAACTCTTTAGTTCTGTCTGTCGAAGAAAATTAAACAGCCAATATGAGTACTGCTGGTCAGGTCATCAAGTGCAAAGGTGTGAACAATCACTGTTTCTCAGATGTTCTTTGTTGGGTTCTTTTCTCTTTCTTCATTTGATCTGTTTTTGCGTGTTCTCTGTTGGTTTTGATTCTTCGGTGGGAGTTCTTCTATTTTGTTACTGGTTGATTGGTTATTTTTTCATGGCGGTTGTTTTGCTAATTCTGTGGTTGTTGTCTTGCAGCTGCGGTGGCATGGGAGTCGGGGAAGCCACTGTCAATAGAAGAAGTGGAAGTGGCGCCGCCGCAGAAGAATGAAGTCCGTATTAAGATTCTCTTCACTTCTTTATGTCACACCGATGTCTACTTCTGGGATGCTAAGGTTCCTTATTCACCCTTCATCTATGCCTATTATACATTTGCTTCACATGAATCTCTGACTCTGATCCCTCTCATTTCTCTTGTTGTAGGGGCAAAACCCCCTGTTTCCTCGCATTCTTGGTCATGAGGCTGGAGGGTATGTATTTGTTTAAAGTTTCTACTTTCTGTGTTCTTATATGTATATTTACTCTGTTCTTTGAACTTGGTGATGTTTAGGATAGTGGAGAGTGTAGGTGAGGGGGTGACTGATCTCAAAGCAGGTGACCACGTTCTCCCCATCTTCACCGGAGAATGCAAGGAATGCGCTCATTGCTTGTCGGAAGAAAGCAACATGTGTGATCTCCTCAGGATCAACACCGACAGGGGTGAAATGATTCATGATGGGAAATCCAGGTTTTCCATCAATGGCAAGCCTATCTACCACTTCCTTGGCACCTCTACTTTCAGCGAATACACCGTCGTACACGTCGGCCAGGTCGCTAAGATCAATCCAGAGGCTCCACTTGATAAAGTTTGTGTCCTAAGCTGCGGGATGTCCACAGGTTAGGGACTAAGACTTCCCTTTGTCTTCCTTTTTTGGGATATATAAACCATGTGAATGACATCAAGGAAGCTTTTGTTGTTGTTCTTGCAGGCTTTGGTGCCACTGTGAATGTTGCTAAACCCAAAAAGGGTCAATCTGTTGCGATTTTCGGACTAGGCGCTGTCGGTCTTGCTGTGAGTTATTCTTGTAGCTTTTATGTTTAGTTCTTTCCCCCCTCTTGGTATGCACTTTTAAGATAAATCTCTGTTCTGAAATTTAGGCTGCTGAAGGAGCTAGAGTTTCGGGGGCTTCGAGGATCATTGGTGTTGATTTGAACCCCAGCAGGTTCGAACAAGGTAGGATTTGTTTCACAGTCATGATTTGCACAATACATCCCAGGATTTGGTTATGTTCTTGGTTAAGCAATGTTACAAAACTGATTCCTATTACTTGTTGCAGCCAAGAAATTTGGTTGTACGGAGTTTGTGAATCCAAAAGATCATAACAAACCTGTTCAAGAGGTTGGTTCCCACATCTTTATGACCCTACATACTAGGGTCACCTAGTATAAAACCTGCATTATATAATAAACTTGTTTGAGATCCTTCTTATAGAATTGTTTTTAATAATCAGGTCATTGCTGAGATGACTGGGGGAGGAGTTGATCGCAGCGTTGAATGTACTGGGAGCATCCAGGCCATGATTTCTGCATTCGAATGCGTCCATGATGTACAGCATTTTTCTCTTCATTCATGACATCAGAATATATCATTTAACATTGTTGGTTTTTAGCTGAAATCAGTTAATTTTCAGGGCTGGGGTGTTGCGGTTCTTGTCGGTGTTCCGAACAAAGACGATGCATTCAAAACGCATCCGGTGAACCTGCTGAATGAGAGGACTCTGAAGGGTACTTTCTTTGGCAACTACAAACCTAGGACCGATATTCCTGCTGTCGTCGAGAAATACATGAACAAGGTGAGGTTATGTTCCTGTTTGATGTAAACATTTAATCGTGTAAAGAAGTAGCAGTAATAAGATGTGTTAAATGTTGCAGGAACTTGAATTGGATAAATTCATCACTCACTCGGTTCCATTCTCGGAGATCAACAAGGCATTTGAGTTGATGCTTGCGGGTGAGGGTCTGAGATGTATGATTCGCATGGATGCTTAAAGGATGAAGCTTTATCAATGGATTGAGTAAATTATTTGCAAAGAGTGATTAAGGAAAATAGAATAATGAATGCTACTACATGCTTTTGCTGTTTTTACTTGATGTTTATCCTGTTTTTTCTCACTCTTCTTTCTTGTTGATGTGTTCAACTTGTTGTCTTACTTGCAAAATAAATAAAAATAACTATTTACTTTATTGATTATTGACATTTATATATATATATATCATATAAAAGTAATTGCTCTAATCCGGGACTTGTAAAAAAAAACAATACTCTTTTATTACGAGGTCACTTGAACTACTATACATGATTTATAAAACATTGGCAAAATATTTTTTATAATTTTTATTACAATTCATGAAGTAACAGAAGAAAAATTGAACATGATCACGGCACATTTTCCTTTGGTATTTAAGTTTATTTAATTCAACATTTTTTTAAACAATATTTAAAATGAACATATACAAGACTAGGCCTTGTGTTCTAGTTGATGATGAGAACTTGAAGTTTCACCTCCTGCTTCGATATCTTTATGATGAATTTGCTCAGAAGAGTGGAGATTGGATCCGTTTCCAATTCTTTGAGTCTTTGCAATCTCTTCATCGATATGAATATCATCTTCAATCTCTAGTAAAACTGAGCTAGTTCCATGGGGACCTTCAACAATTGCCTCCTTGATTTTCATTTGTTCATCCATATGTACCGCGTCAGCCTTTTGAACCTCCTTTTTCTTGAGGAAACAAAAGAGAGTGGCCGCAAGGAATGTGAGGAGGAACACGCCGCCACATGATATAAACACGATGATTATAACCGTATGGTTATTTGGTGATGGAGGAATTGGAGTCGGCGGTGGAGGTACATGGGGAGGTGGTGGAGGCGGAGTGATTGGATGGTGGGGTGGTGGAGAGAAATAAGGGAAGTTGAAGTTAGGAGAGGCCATTGTGGAATGAGGGGATAGATACAGTATGAAGTTGATATTGTTGGTGCACAAAAAGGTAGCATTTTGGACTGTATTTGTAGTGAAACTTGTGCAGTAAAATCCAGATGAAGTTATGAATAACTTGACTCTCATTCCTTGCCTTCCCTTCAAGTTTAGGAAAGTTGGGCCAATGGGTTCTATGTTTGCATTGTAAAACACGAAAAAACTTCATAATACTCAAATAAACAAGGGTAGAACTTGCAACTTGCAAGCAAACCATTTTGTACAATGAATTCCTTGTACGGTTGCTATTTAATTGTTTACGGGCTCGTCTCTCTTTTCTTACCCAAGGTGTTCGCGAAAATATTCATTTCTGAATAGTATGGTTAAAAAAATGTATTATAACTATGTTTGATCATTGTAACATGTGCTGAAAAGTGAGGCTTTCATCACTCTTCTTCACGCAACAATGAATCCATTTCTGGAGCATAACCATCTTCTCTCGTCAATACAACCAAATCCTTCAAAACTTCTTCAATTTCATCTGCTTTAGGATGCGACTCATCTCCTGCAACAAACATATTCGTTTTCTGTCCCACGATGATCCAGCTACAACCAGGGAACTTCTGCAACCTTTTTTCACTCGTTCTCTTCCTCGTAGCATTAACTTCACTCCACTTTCCCGTTGCAGCATATATGTTAGACAGTAGCACATAGGGTGATGGATTTTTCGGTTCTAGTTCAATCAGTTTCTCCACTGTCCTCCGTCCTCTAATTTCATCTCCATGTATTCTACAACTGTCTAGTAGTGCAGCCCAAATCATAGCATCGTGTTCGAACTTCATACTGTTGATGAAATCCTCGGCTTCTTTAAGAAACCCCATCGTCCAAGAAGATCAACGATGCAGGCACAATGATCCACTCTTGGCTGAATCCCAAAATTAACCATTGTGTCAAAAATTTGACGACCTTCAGATACCTTCCCTGCATGACTACATGCAGTAAGAACACCGAGGAAAGCGACATCATCAAGCATTACATGTGTTTGAGTCATCTCAAAAAATATTCTCAATGCATCTTCTGCATAACCGTTTTTAGCAAACCAGACTATCATCGAGTTCCAGCAACTAATACCGTTCTTGCTATTCATTTCATAAAAAACTTGTGCAGAACATTTAACATCCCCACATTTAGCACACATATCGACAAGGGCACTAGTTGTTAACTCATCTGAAACATAACCAGTCTTATAAATTAGTGCGTTGATCTGTCTGCCTTCTTGCAAAGAAGACAAAGCAACAATCATAGCATTCATGGAGACCACACTCCATCGAGACATAACATAGAGGACTTTATGTGCATCCCAAATGGTTCCCGACTTGGCATACATGTCTATAGGGTCACTTCCTGCATAGAGGCTCTTATCTAAACCAGATTTAATTGCAAGACAATGGACTTGCTTCCCATGCTCAAGATTCTGAACATTTGTGCAACCACTAAGTATACTAGCCAAGGACACTTCATCAGGCACAATGCCATCTAAAATCATTCTTCGAAACATGTTAAAAGCCTCAAACTCATTCTCACCTTGCACATATCCAACAATAATTGCATTCCAAGAAACATTGTCTCTATCTTTTATGATCTCAAACTGCTGCCTTGCTTCCTTTAAAGCACCGGATTTTGAATACATATCAACCAATGCATTTGCCACAAATAAATTTGATGCGAATTTGTTCTTGATTATTAACCCATGAAATTGGCGACCTGTTTCCAGACATCCTAAGCTAGCACATGCACTCAAGGTACTGGTATAGGTGAACTCATCAGGGTGATAATCAGACCCTTTCATCTGAGAAAACATCTCAATGACTTCATCAGCACAATCATTTTGTGCACAACCTCCGAGCATTGCATTCCACAATACAACATTTTTCTCATGCAACTCATCAAATACTTTCTTTGCAGCATCAATTTCCTCACACATAGGATACATATTGATTAAAGAGCTTCCCACATAAACGTTAGAATTTAACCCTTGTTTAATTGCCTCACCATGAACCAATAAGCCTAAGTCTAATGCTGCTAAACTAGCGATGACACTCAACACACTTCCCAATGTGGAGCGTGTGGACTTAACTCCAGATCCCCTCATATTATGGAAAAATTCAATAGCCTCCACCTCATAACCTCTCTTGGCATGCCCTGAAATCATCACATTCCAGGCTACAACATTCGGATTAGGCATCTGGGAAAACAAGGCACGTGCATCATCAAGTCTACCTAAGCCGACAAATGCATTCATGGTGCTAACAAAAGCCACCTGATTATCCTCAGGCAAGCCAACCTGAACATAACACGCAACCATCGATGTCCATGAAATTGTATCAAGATCCATTGACCCAAACACCTTCCTAGCATCAGTTACATAATTACACTTGGAATAAATATCAATGAGAGCACCTTCACAGAATGGACTCGCTTCAAGGTCCATTTTAACAACAAAACAATGCACTAATCTACCAAACTCAACATCTTTCAATTTGGCACATGCAGATAAAAGAGTGGCAAATGTGAACTCATTTGGCAACACCCCACTACTCATCAAAGGTCCGATGCTCTTAAAAACTTCTTCTACCAACCCTCGTTTTGAATACATCGAAATAACCGAGTTCCAAGCGAATACATCTCTCTTTTCAAGGCTATGAAACGCTTTCTCAGCAGAAACCACATCTCCCCAAAGATCGAGAATTGCATTTCCGAACAACCCTTTTGAACAAAACCCAAGTTTCAAACCTTGTGCGTGTATCATTTTTCTTGCTTTCAAATCCGGCTCTCTCGTCTGAGACATTTCGTCGAACAGGTAACGAGTTTTGACTTCTCTGCATTGTTGTAAACACAACCTTACTAGGTGGCTGTATCTCTCGGGTGTCGAGCTTCCCGAGCGAGTTGACAGGGGAAGAATCGTTGAGAAGTAAGAGTGTTGAAGAAAAGAGCTCGGCTCGGACGTCGGTAGAGTTCTTGAGAGGAACTTTAGGCGCATCGAGTCGGGACACTTCTGGCATGGCTTGATGGAGTTAACGAGTTGGGTGAGTTAATTGGGCTGTATGAAAGCAACCATATTTTTCGCTCCGAATATGAATGATCTGACTCAGACTCTTCCAAAACCTTGAATTGAAAGTCTTGAGGATTGAGCCCACGAGACCATCCCCAAAACCAGAGCCCAAAAGGAAAAATCGTAGTGAAAACGGGAAATAGAAAGGCCAACGGAGGGTAAAACAGTAATGACACAAAAAATAAAGAAAACGCGGGATGCGATTAGGGTTTTTCTTAGAGTTTCTTCCCCTGTATAAATTGTCGAACCCAGTTGAATACCTCGTAACATCGTTCTAAGTTCAAGTCTGCAGCTTTCTTTTTCCCATTGATTTTCCTTATTAATTTCGCTTCAAATTTCATTATTTTTAAAAAGTTTTCTACTTCAGAATCTGGGCAATGATGAGAAAAATTAGAGGAAGTCATGCACCACGCTGATCCTAACCTGTGCTGATAATTCTCTCTACCCATATTTTCCTCTGAGCTTTTATTTTCCCCCAATTATAAACCTTTTGATTTTAGATAGAGTTTTTGTTTTTACGGTATTTGATTCATCTTCGTTAAACCCTTTTCTCTGCCGTGAAATAAATTTTCAATTCCAAGCATTGAAAGGAAAATTAAAAGAAAGCAAAGGAACCAGATGATGTGATCTTCTCCAAGGAGAAGATTGAACCATGATGCGGACCGTAAAGCTTTATTAGCTTCTGGGGATAATTATTGGTTTCTGATGGCTCCTCTCTTTTCAATTTAAATTTCTGGAGGGAAGTAATGATTTTTTTCAGATGAAGTTTTAGATTCGGTCTTTTGCTTCATGATCATATCAAATCTTAAAATGTTTCAAATATCTGAAATTACAGCCTCCGTTACTTATAATCTAATTTTGAATAATCCCACTTGTTCAACTTCCAAGAGATTTAAATATTTTTCGGAACCCTAATTTTACAATCATTATAGTAACATTAATCACGATTATAAATGTTATTATAATCGTGATAAATGTAATGCAACCACAACTATAATTACAACTGCAATTAAAATCGATTCCTCCAACGGAAGCTTTAATTTGATTTAACGTTTGATTAATATTCAAACTTAATAAATTTGGTCGAAATTTTAAAGAGTTAATGAATTATTTGAATTTAGTTATTTTCTAAACTAAATTATTAATAATATGTATATATTTTTATAATATAATATAAAATTTTCTTGTACTTAAGATTTAATTTCGTGTTTTAATTGAGTTTGACTTTCAATTTGAGTTAAATCTGAGAGGCTAATTTTTTTTTTTAAATTTGAGTTAAATTTTAATTTCAAACTTCCTAATTTTTAAATATGTGAATTTTTAAATTGATTTGAGATTAGTTTTAAACTTATTGCGTGGAGTTTAATGATATATGAGTTCAATTTTACTTGCTTATAGTCCTACTTAAGAGCCCTTAAAGATGATGGATTTTAGGTAGGGATGAATATTCGATCGAAATGAATCAAAAAATTTGAGGTTATTTGAGTGGATGAGTCATTTTATGACTTGAATTTAATTTAATTTTTTTCAAGTTGAGTCAAGTTTAAGAAATTCGAGTAGATTTATTTGAGGTTCTATAAAAATTTTATTATAACTATTTATAGTATTATGGTAAGGATTGATTCTAATTTTTTGAATTTCTCTAATCATATAATATATATATATTCCATATTCTTTAAAAAATATAAGGTTATTTAATATATTAAATATAATCTAAAAATATATTTAATAATATTATATTTTAAAGAAGATATTTTGATGGTAAAATATTGATGAGAATATAAAAGAGTCAATAAATTGACGAGACAAAGAATTTGTAAAAATTGCAATCAAAAGATCAAATTGAGTAAAATATAAAGTTAAGGGACTAAATAAAAAAAAGAGTATATTTTTAGTAAAAAAAAAGAATTTGAGTTACATACATATTTTATAATGGTATATGAGTATGCGATTTAAATTTGGTAAAAGTTTGACTTAAAATGAAAGATAAATTGAAAAAAATAATAAAAAATCGAGAAAAATGAAGGATGTAATAAAGGGAATTTAAATAAATTGAATATTAAAATAGTGTCAAAACCTCTTTAATACTTGTCAATTTTGAAAACAAGTTAGTTCCATATAAAACATAAAATAATCTCCAAGGATTCAAAATAAATTTATAAAAATAAATCAAATTCATTGTTCATGTCTGCTTACACCTTTGTTTAATCCAATGTTAATGTCTGCTACAGCCTCCATTATTGAAGAATCATTGAAGAATTGCAAATTAAATATTATTGAAGGCTCACTCACATGATAATAACATTTAAAAATAAATCAAATCCAATGTTAATATCTGCTTACACCTTTGTTTAATCCAATGTTAATGACTGCTACAGCCTCCATTATTGAAGAATCATTGAATAATTGCAAAATAAATATTATTACCCAACTTTTTAACACCTTCATATTCTCCCCTTACGTACACTGAATAATTCAGAAGCTGCAACAATGTCTGGCGTTGAAGGAGACAAATATCGTTCTTATTTGCATGGAGAAGGTGAGCTCAACACCACATGGAGATGGGGAGCTGCTCCAAATTACGACATTGTTAACAAGCTCTTCGAAGAAGGAAGAACTAAGGTTTGATTCTTTTTCATCAGTTAATTTTACATATTTAATATGATTACGAGTGTTGGATATAAATACATGTCTGACACGAGGACTTCAATATGTTAATGGAAGGTATGGCCTCCTGGATCACTAGAAGAAAAAGTGCAGAACCTTGTGAAGACATGGGAAATGGAGCTTTTCCACAAGGCAGCCCTCGATGATGTCAAATCAATGGACTTTAACAAATTCACGTTTAGCTTAAATGGTAAAACGAAAGAACATGAACTGAGACATGTTGTACGTTAATTTTTACAAATGCTTTACGTTAAACTGGATTATGTTTCAGGTCGGAAGGCTCTGGACATGATGGAAATAAAGAAGCTCGGAGGAGGATATAACCCACACCTGCAAACATCCCTCCCCGAAGAATACAGAATCTACGATCCTGAAAAGGAAACAACCGAATCATCTCACAGGGCTTTTCTTACTGCTTTTCCAAGAGGTTTTGCTTTAGAAGTTCTCAAGGTTTATGCTGGACCTCCTGAGATTGTCTACAAGTTTAGGCACTGGGGTTACAGTGAAGGTCCTTTCAAAGGTCATGCTCCTACAGGAGATTTGGTTGAATTTTACGGAATGGCCATCTTCCAGGTAAAGTTAATTATCCCAGAAATTTATTTGTTTTGATTTTTGGTGAATAAAACTTGACTTGAATTTTTTTGGAACAGGTGGATGAAGATATGAAAATTGGTAGAACTGAGTTCTTTTATGATAGGGGAGAATTGCTTGCTGGCCTATTGAAAGGTGCCGCCATTGATGATAGCTCTGCCATGGAAGCAGCTTCAAAGTGTCCAATCTTGAGGAAGACAGGGTAGAATTATTCCCAGTATTCTACGACTTTTACATAAAATAAATACCCTTTGGGGGTGGTTACATATGTATTTTTTGATGTCAAAATAAATTCCATCTACTTAATAGAATATAAGAAATATACAATAAAAATAAGTAAGGGTCTATCCTCAAAGGTTAAATTTCTATTTGAATTACTTAAAAAAAGTAATTTAAGCGAAAATAAAGAAAGAAAACAGATTTGAAAATAATTATGGTAAAAATCAGTCTCATGACTTGCTTTGACTCAATTCATTTCTGATCATCAAAATTAGATTTTCACTTTGTGATTCATGTCGGTTATAGTTTACAAGGCATTATCCATGTAACTTGCTTTTCACTTTGGTAACCAATCTTTGGAAATCTAGTTTTTTAATTGAACTAACTACGACAATCGTCGTTTGTGCAAAAATAATTTTAGTTTAGGAAAAGTCTGACTCGTATTATATTGTCTCTCTGAGAATTGAATCCAATCTCAATTTCTCTTAGCGGACCGTCGCAAGGGTGTTCACAGGAAGTTGGATTTGCTATTTACCGATCTTTCCTCTCAACTTTAAATTAGAACAACATCCTGATCAACGTCGACTTTTTGAAAAGAAAGTGTTTTGATTTTTAAATGATAGGTCAATTACCTATCCAAGTCTTTTAGAAAATTGAGATTGACATCTTGAAGATGTTATGTGCTTTTCAATTCTCTCATATCAAAATGAGTCATCACTTAGCCTCCCGCTTTTAAGAAAATTAAAACATGACAAAAGTCATCTTAGAGATAAACATGGAAAAAATAATCCTAAAGATAATTCCAAATGTTTTTTTTTTTCAAATTCAAACTTTAATATTTTAAAAAATAAATCTCATAACATATCTCTCCCGTCCACCTTCAAGAAGGTACTGACTAAATCTTCTAGAAAACTGTTACTGACTGGACCTTCTAAAAAACTGCTGCTGACTGAACCTTCTAGAAATTGCTACGTCGGACCGTGTCATGCCCAGAGTTGTGTCCATGTCTTCAATGGTGACCAATAATAATAAAAAAATTCAAAATGGGCACTCTTTACTGCTAATTCTGGCAAATAAGATCATGCACGAAAATAAACACAATACAATCAATTCACCAGTAATAAATCCATAAGATCGAAGAATTAACGAGCAAATATTATCGATTTAAAACACTCATCAGGTGGCCTCTTTGTCCCTTCAGTTGAAACACCATTTGCAGATTTATTGTTTTTGTTTCCATTTAAATTTGTATGTTGCTAAAGAAGCAAGTTCCATAGCCATGGAACAAAAGCTTTCTTTATGATATTTTCTTTATATGTTGTTTTTAAATGAATCCATTCAAATTTTCACATTGAATTAAGGTCAATAATATGTTCTTATGATTGATGAACTTTTCCAAAATCTCAAGCATGTTTCTTACATAGAAAGATGGACATGATATACAAAAAGAAACAGAAATAATAGCACAAACATGACATGAATATATATTCACCTTCATTCTCTATTGATTTGGTTATTGAAATTTTATTTAACAAGTATTTATATCATGTGATCAAGTGTCTTTTGCTATGGTTAATCTTGCTATGCCCATGGGAGTGAACCTTGATACGGAACAGTCCCACAGTATCTAAACAGACCTTCAATTTCCGGGCATCCATTCGGATATGGGATTGACCGGTGGAAAGGATCACGGCTTACTTTCTTCTTCTTAAGCGATCCGATACATCCATATGGATCTTGTTGAAATTGAGCCCTCACCAATGCCTCGCCTTTCAAAGCTGCTTCTTTTGAAGTCGCCGAAGCTGGTGTGCCTGTGTAAAAGAATTGCGACTCCGGAAAGCCGATCGCGGAGCGGTGCAAGTTTGCAAATCTCTCTTCCTTGAAATCATAACTTACAACCTGATCCAAAATGAAATAGGATAATGATGAGTTTTCAATCTACAATGCGAGGAACAAACAACACTTGTCGTGAACAAAAAACTAACAAAGCAACGAGGACATATTACGAAAAAACTCGATATATATATATATATATAGTTAATTTGTGAACTTATTTCTTACAACCATGGTGGCATGGATCAAGTAGGATATGCTTACAGTTATGTTTTGAGGGTATGCCCCGGTAAGCTCTCGGAACCGACAAACACTAAAGAGAAGATTTTCAAAGCTATCTCTTGCATGCTCCTCTGTTAATGCCCTCCACTTCACACTTTCTTCTTCCCCTGAAAAAACAGTTGAATAAAGAACGATGCTCGATGATTCAAAACCAAACCATTGTAGAAAAAAATTAATAGAATAAAGACGGGGAAGAAACAAACTCATGGAAATAGACCAGAGAGTGGAACTCTCACTAATAAGCTAAAATGGTAGCAAATATGGATTTAAAGGGTCATGAACTTGGAGGAACTCATGGGAACATTCAAGTATATACGAAGCCGAAAGCACAAATATTGCATACATAATCTCAGGAAATTGATAATCTCGATGTTGCATAAGAAACACAGAACAATGCAATAATCTTAACTTGTCGAGTTTATGTTACATACTTCAAAGTTCAAACCAATGGGAACGATCAAGTATAACTAAGGCAAGCAACTACGGCATATAATCAGAGAAATGGAGAATGCCGAATAAGTGAACATACCGAACCATCCTTTCGATTCAGCAACTGTCCAATAACTCTGTGACTCACTCCGAGGACCGGCATCCTTCCTAGTCTCTCCGCCACTAAACAGAAGCAAAGCCGAATTATCTCGTGCAGTGCTTTCAATTCCTTCCTTTATGTGACTCAAAAATGTTGCAGCCTGCCCTGGATTCTTCTGGTACGACTCCAAAAACCAAGAATCCTCCTTATCAACTCTTCCACATCTACTACTTGTATAAACCGAATGCCCAGCAACCATGACAAGATTCTTAAGCTTGGCATACGGATAATAATTACCGAATCCATCATCAAGTTTCCCATAATTTCTTAGCATTCTATAGTTGTGCTCATATAGAGATAAAACTATAAGGATAATGACCCCAAATGCCAAGGAAACAAAGAAAACAAGGAATGGGTGTAACTTGTAATAGTAATGAAGCCTGTTAGCCAAGGATTTAATCATTCTACCAGGGGAAAACGATGCATTTCTAGACCTTTTGGTTCTTTTGATGGTGCCTAATTCAATATCAAAGTCACCCCTTGGATATGCATCGAAGGGCTTTGGACTATTTGACCCAAATGGATAATTATTCATGCTAACACAGATACAGCTGAACAGCTTCCAGATTTATGTAAATAAAGCATGCCCAGAGAGACAATTCAACAGATTATCCAGTAACGATAATGAATTTTAATACAAAACCAAAGCATAAACTACATAAAAGGAAAAATCTTGAGTATCAAAGTTGCACCTTTGGAAACTGGAATTGAATCTTTAAGGCAGAATTTTGATTACCAAAGCAGAGGTATAAAGAGTAAACTCACAAAAACCTGGCAGAGTGGAAGAGACTTGGATCCAGAATTCCAGAGTTTGCTTATTAAAATTAAAAATGTCAGAGATGGTAAAGAGAAGATTACTAACAGGGACTGAATTCTTGGGTTTCGCCCATTTGAAGCCCAAAAGGTGATCCATTTGTTTTATAAAACTCTGCTTGTTTATCATTGGAAAAGCCCAAATATACAGTTCTATATTACAACTCTAAATATATTTATGATGTTCTTGAAGCTACTGCTCATCATTTGAATTTGGAATGACTAATTTGGTTGTTGGTGTAGTTTTCGCACACAGTAATGTTGCATATGGAAGTGTGTTCTGGCTACCATATATATTTCTACTGTTGATCTTTCACATTAGACATGTTTTCAGATTGATTACGTCTTGTTTATTAGAGTACATCTCAAGTGTCTTGTAAATGTTTGTTGAATGATTGATGAGGGGGGCCCCATCACACACTCTTAGATGAAATATCGAATAAAAAAAGGAGTTTATCCCTTTTATAATTAAGTCGATTCCTTCTGGTTCATAGTTCAGTTGCCATGATTTGCTTGGTTGTTTGTATCATGTTTTTTCCCCTTTTGGTATGAGCCGGAAACTGATGAATCTCTCACGCGTGGATTTTAATTCAGGAAAACAGACAGCAAATCTGTCTACTTTGTGATTTGTAATTTGATGTAGTTTTATATGAATCGATAAGGAATGTATAGCTAATGCTTCAATTGCTAGCCACTAGAGAATGATATGTTATAAGTGGGCCAAAGATAGCTTTTTTTCATCTCACATGACTAGGAAGAAAGCACCATTTTAAGAACATGGGAGCTTTAGGGTCTTATTATCTCTTTACTGAAAACAGATGTTGGGGAAGCTTATGGGAGGTGGTGGTCCTTTTGTATCCCCCCATAATTCTCATGTTCAATCTTGTTCATGCCAACCATGGTTTATGTCAAAGCCCTTGTCTTTTTCATCGGCTCGGCTCCTTCGATGTCCACCAGAATGAGGTTCGAAAGCTACCCTTTTCCCTATTGGTCCCCTACTTGAAAACTGCAGCTGATGAATTGATTGATTTTTCTAGCACTGTTCCACTTTTAAATTATTGTTTTGCTTTCCGTGATCTATGCCATTGATGAAAGCTTGCTTTATTGGATGGTTGAGGCGACCCTTGATGACAATTTTGGTCTTGTAAATTATACAGTAATTGAGTAATATAACTTTGAAAGATCATATATTATCTTTTCATTTGGAATATAGGCTACCAGCTTGATGGCATTTGGATATCTTCCTTTATTCTGCTCGGTCGCCTGCATATCTTAGCAGTAGTAAATGTTTCTATTTTGGGGGAAAAAGATGGAAGGAAACAGTTTGTAGGTCCGCTTATAAAGTTCCATTATTCCTCTTCTGTTCCTACAGGACAGCTGCCCCACTTGATCGAAAACAAACCATCCGATATGAGTTCAAGCTCGGCAACAGCCTCGCATCACAGAAATAAATATAACAATACTGAGTGCATTTAGGATTAACGAAGCAGCAGTTTGAGGCCTATTTTTACTACATATGATAAGAATTCTGACCTATACAAATGACAGTTAAAATCAAATAACGATTATACTGAAGCGCATCGACTAAGAAGTTGAACTGATGAGAGGTTCGGATGATCTCGAGAAACTAGAACAATGAACTGCAGCTTTGGGGTTTCTTGCTATGCCTTTACAAAGAAGATTTGTTTTATCAGAATCATCGTTCTCATGCCTGATCTCTTTCAACATTGCGGTTACATCTTTCATTGTGGGTCGTTCTTCGGGACATGGATTGACGCATAGGAGAGCGACGCCGAGCACTTGAAGCATTTCTTGGATTTGTGTGCCTGATCTTATGAGCAGCATCTGGTCTATAATTGTTGTGAAGTCTTTCCTCTTTTCACGAAGTTCAGTGTTGATCCAAGTGATAATGTGGACACAGTCTGGAATACTGTTGTCTGTTGGTTCCATGCCTGTTAAAACTTCCAGGAGAACTAGACCAAAGCTGTACACATCACTCGTCTCTGTGATCCTCATGCTGTATCCATACTCTGCAAATCATCATAATTATGTCGGAATGGAACATATAGTAATATATATACATGATTGATCGGGGAACATGTCCGTAAACATCTCAAGATCTTGAAGATTTTGAAGAAAAAACATGTTCAGAACGTAAAGGAAAATGCCAGAAAGACAATTCACAATATTAACTCACCTGGAGCAATATATCCGTAAGAACCTGCAACAATGTTGGAAGCTCTCGGGCTCTCTGAAACATCGACCAGCTTCGCCAGGCCAAAGTCTGCCAAGAAAGCTTCAAACTGTGGTCCAACCAAGATGTTGTTGGCTTTGATATCACGATGAACTATCGGTGGGATACAATCATGGTGAAGATATGATAAACCTTGAGCAGCTCCAAGTATGATCTTATATCTTGCATCCCAGTCCAAGAACAAGTTCTTCTCATGCAGCAATCCGGCCAGGCTCCCGTTACTAATGTAATCAAACAAGAGTAATCTGGTTTTTCCATTGTCACAGCATCCCAGTAGCCTCACTATATTTTTATGCCTTATGGTTCCGAGTGTCTGAACTTCTGCAGTAAACAAATCCCTCTCTGGATACTCACCATTTTTTATTGGCCATAGTTTCTTCACTGCAACTACCTGCTTTGTCGGCATCTCAACACGATAAACCACACCGGAACAACCCTTTCCAATGATGTTTGAATCGAACAGACTCGGTAATATGTCATTCATGGAGAAGTTAAGCTTTTGGAAGGGGATGAAGTGCCAGTCCAAGAAATCATCTTCATGTTTGGCTCCATGAACTCTGATAAATAAAAATACAGCAGCAGTGACTAATACAATGGTTATGGTAACACTGAAAAGCGTTCGGAGGATAAGATTTCTGGTTAATATTTTGGCATGGGGATTTCCACTTGAGCACTTGATTCGGTTAATGCAGAGATGATGATTGCCGGAAAAAGCAGTGTTGGGGAGATTATCAAATAACTTGGTGTCCGGAAGGGTACCTGAAAAGTTATTGAATGAGACATCCAAAGAAACAAGATTGTCAAGACCACCAAGGACCATGAGGCTCCCAGTTAGCTTGTTGTGAGAGAGGTCTAAGTTGGCCAGTTTTGATAGATATGAAAAGCTTTCCGGAATAGACCCGGTTAAGGCATTCCAACTAAAATTCAAGAGTATATCGAGTCCTTGCAGACGACCGATCTCTTCTGGGATATAACCAGCAATCTTATTTCTGCTTATATCCAACAATTGCAAATCCTTACAGTTCCCCAGTGACTTAGGGATCACACCTGTTATCGAGTTTCCACTGATTACCATTTTGTTTAACGATGTCAGCTTGCCTAAACTCTGAGGAATGGTGCCTGCTATGTTGTTCATCGAAAGGTCCAGGATGTTGAGATCAGCAAGGAATTCAAAAGATTCAGGAATTGTACCTTGGAGCTTATTTGCTCGCAAATCCACCATTTCTAAACAAGTGCAGTCGCCAATATCGGGAGGAATTTCTCCGGTAAACTGGTTTTCCGATAATTCAAGGAAGCTCAGACTATGCAAAAGGCCAATCCCTGATGGAATGTGACCACTAAAGTTGTTTGATCCCATCCTTAAACGGGTCAAGCTAGTGCAATTCCCCAGAGTTTGTGGGATTCCACCAGAAAGTCTGTTCGATAACAACAACAACTGGGTCAAGTTCTTCAAATTGAACAGAGAACTTGGAACTGAACCAGTAAGTGAATTGTGTGATAAGTCCAAATGTTGAAGTTTCTCACAGTTGGCTAGCTCGATCGGTATGCTTCCATGAAGCTGATTCTGCCATGCAAAGAACTGAGTAAGTTCCTTTAGTTGTCCAATGGCTGCTGGAATCTCACCAGATAATCTGTTGTTATCTAACTCTAACTGCTTTAGGCTTGAAAATTTGCCTATGAAGGAAGGTATGTTACCAGAAAGGTTGTTCCCTGACAAAAGAAGCTCCTCCAATGAAGCCAAATTGGCAAGAGATGAAGGAACCTCCCCCGTTAGATAATTCAATGAGATATCAATAATAACCAAACCAGAACAGTTCCCTAATGACTCTGGAATTCTCCCACTCAGCTGGTTCTGCCATAATAACACTGTCTTGAGATTCTTCAACGAACCAAGTTCTTCAGGAATCTCACCAGAAAGTTGGTTTCCATAAAGAAACAACTCCTCCAAAGCTGAAGAATTACCAATTTCTGGTGGGATATGACCATTAAGCTTGCTTGTATAGATCAAAAGAGTCTTGAGATTCTTCAGTTCCCCTAAACTTCTCGGAATCTGTCCCGAAATACCAGTATCCGCTAGTCCAAGAAAAGCTAGTTGTCTGCAATTCGATATTTGCATTGGGATTTCACCTGCAACACCTTTGTTCCCCCCTGCCCTGAAAATCTCCAGTGACATCAATTGTCCAAGCTCTTCAGGAAGCTTTCCAGAAAGATGATTATCAAACAGTTCGAGCAACCGAAGATTCGAACAGTTTCCGATCTCCCTCGGGACACCACCGTGAAAGATGTTTGTGTTCAACGACAACGACCTCAAACGAGACAACTTCCCGATCTCATCTGGAATATTTCCCGAGAAAGCGTTGAAACTAAGGTTCAAGGTGATCAACGATGACAAGTTCCCTATAGAAGGTGGGATTTCCCCTGTGAGGTTCCCACGTGAAAGAATAAGAGCAGTAAGATGCTGGAAAGAGACAACCTGGGAGGGAAAACTTGCATGAAGATCGATGTTCGATATACTAATTTCACTAACGAAACCTCCACCGTCACATTTGATGAAATCCCATTTGCATGGATTCTGGTGGGATGGATTCCATGAAGAGAAGAAAGCAGCAGCAGAAGAAGAAGAATTGAAGGTTGAAAGCCATGAAAGTAAAGAAAG